TAAAGCCTTGGGCACGGAAACATTTTGGCCACAGACCTTGGACATTCCAACAGGACTCAGCACCGTCGCAAAATGAGGTTCCTCGCTTCATTTCCAGCGCTAAATGGCCACCAAAATCTCCGGATACCAATCCGTTGGACTATTGTGTCTGGAGTATTTTGGAAAGCAAGGTTGGTACTAAAAAATACCAAAGTGTCGATCACCTCAAGCAAGCGCTTCGCCGGGAATGGGCCAAAATACCGCAGAGCAACATTCGGGCAGCGTGTGACGTTTTAATTGGTCGTTTGAAGGTCATAATTCGTGCCGAAGGTGACCAATTCAAACAAATCTAAATTTATTCTAAAATGCTATGCTATTTCCAATTTTATAATCAACTCAATCAAATTAAAAAAAGTACAAAATACAGCGTTAGACTTTGTTGCAGTTTTTATCTCGCCCTATACTCCCAACAGTAGTAACATTTTATATATGATGTATAAAATCGATTCTCTTTTACTGCACTGAACTTATGACTTGTGCCTAACACGCAGAAGCTACATGTATTCACGAAAAAATGCCTCAGAATCCTATTCTGGTCCAATACCATACGTAACGTAGAGTTGTGGATCCTAACGTATCAGGAGCCCATACAAAAGCAGATTAATCGTTGGAAAAGGATATAGATTGACTGACCACACCGTAAGACAAAATGTTCATAACATAACTAGAATGACGCCAAACAACTAGAATGGTGCCCGAATGGAATCTCCAAAGAATCATGAAATCGAGATCGACAAAATACAGTATGTCAAGAATGAGTTCACACATGGACAATTAGTCTCATTGAAGGGGTCTTTTCGGTACCCTTTTCCAGAAATTTCATTCTAGAAAATGGTACCGAAAAGACTCATTCAAAACGGGGTTAAAGCTGCTCAGAATAAGACATCTTGTAGGAAAATGGGTAAAAACTAGTAATAAGATTTTTGACGTTTAGGCTGAATTTTGAGTTTGAGTCTATTCTGAGACTTATATACCTAAGAAGAAATTATACATCGAAAAAAATTACAAAAAAAAAAAACAAAAACGAAGCCAATAATTATTTTGGGGTGTATACAAGCAACGACGTGGCAGACTACGCTTTTATAAAAACAACATCGGACGCACAACAATATTTAAACATTAAAAAACATTGGTAACCAGTGCTATGGCCTTTGTTTCCATTAGCCACATATTAAATTTTATCAGGATAATGATCCTAAGCATACGTCACATATATTGCGGATGTGGCTTCTTTATTACTGTGGGAACGATTTGTGGATATATTAGAAAAAAGGTGGCTAAATGACAATCAATTATACCTTTCACCATAAGCTGAGTTTTGACACGTTTTCAGTGAAATTGTAATAACGGTACACTCCATTTTTCGTTATTTTAGGCACAGTTTTCAACCAAATTGACTCTTGGCACTTCCTCAAAATAGTAATGTTTTTTTATACGTGCTCCTGTGAAATTCTAAAATTAAATTATTAACAAACTGCACTTATTTTTTCTTCACTGATAAACCCAATATTCAAAATTTATTAACTTAAATTGATATACTTCAAGTTACACAATAAATTGAGGGGTTTATCTGCAAATAATGATTAAATGAACGTAGACGTCATGGGAACGATTGCATTTGGCGATTAGAGAAAAAGATAGCATTCGGCATTGGAGGGTATTTTTCATTTTCTTTTTTTTTGGTTCTATTAATTAAATTAAAAAACAAAATACCCTTGGGTCTAAAGAATACTAATCTTATTTTTTTCTTCTTTTTTGTTAATTGTTGATAGGCTTCATATATGAAATGAATTTGAATATCATTTAATGTGGGCTACTCTTATCACAAATAAATTGATTTATAAAATGGACTTTCAATTTTATATTTTTTTGTTTTCAAGAAATTATTATTTAAATAATTCGATTTAATAATTGGAGTTTTTCTCTTCATTTTAGAAATTATAACTATATATATATCATTGAAAAATTGTATTATTTATTCTGAATAAGTTATTATTCTATTTTTAATTTTCAAACAAAAAAATCAAAATGTTTTATATATATATATATATATATATATTACTTTTTTTAAATAAGCTTTATTCTATTAAATAATATTTTTTTCATAATTTTTACATCTTAAAAAATTGGTCCAACTATCATCACGTTATTATCGATGATCGCAGGGACGAACTCTTATTAGTGAGAAATGTCTCCCTTTCACTTAAACTCACGTTACTTTAGACTCCATTCGTAATGTGTTTACACTATTGAATGTGCACCATTTACATAAATACAAAAATAGCAATATATCGAAATCTAAACATATAAAAATCAATAAAATGTAATAAATGACATTCTAGACACAATGTGGTCAAATGGTGGGTGGATATATGGTCATTCACTTTCTTGCCATATTCTGTGAAAAAGGAGAAACATAAGCATGGGAAATCTAGTTTCAGATTTTCGAAGCTGTGGTCGTGGCGTTGACCACATAAAACACTCTTTTGTAAATCTAATGTATGACATACTCATGGCAAGTGGCCATGATAAGGCAGTGGCAAAACCTTCGCCAAGTACCTAATACGAACAAATCGAAAACAATTTATGTGCCATAGATAAATGGTATTTATTAGATTACACAGAATTTGGTTAATTGTATGAATAGAACACTAATGAGAATTTGTATAGTAGCGGCTACAAACATAGAAAAAAATACGCAATACAAAAATCCGACCTTAGAGTTATTTTGATGTAATAACGAATTCAACAATTGAGAACATCGTTAAGTTCGGCTTATATCAAAACTTGGATTTAAGAAGGATTTTCTCATCGGATTTGTGGCCTTCGTCTTCTGCGTGGCCTTCATCTTCTGCTTTTATATGCTTTTTGAGATGATGCATCTAGCCAATGTAGTCGCTACAGTTCGATACGTCTGACTATGTCGATGTGCAAGTACCCATGCCTCAGATCTATATAACAGAACGGGTAGTATCAACATCTTGTAGAGCGTGAGTTTGGTATGTTTTTGAGTTGCTTACTCAGACCAAAATAGCATCTGTCGCCCGACACTATTCTCCTCCGGATTTCAAAGCTGTTGTTATTAGTTTTTGGTTATTGCGGTAGCGAGGTATATAAAATCGTTCACTACCTTTACCGAATCTTTAGTTTTAAAGTTCCACAGTTGGTCGGAGTCTACTGGACAGCTTTCGCGTTGGTACCATCAGCTTGGTCTTCTCGCCATTTACTGCCACTTCCACTTTGGCAGACTCCTTCTCAATTCGTTCAAAGGTGGCTGTTACCGGTCGCAATGTTCGACTCATTATGTCGATGTCGTCGACGTAGGTGAGCAACATATGTTGTTTGGTGTACAGAGTGCTATTTCTGTTCACATTTGCATCTCGTATGACCTTTTCCAGCAGGATGTTAAACAGGCTAACGACTAACAGTCACCTCTTCTGAATCCTCGTTCGGTATTGAAGGCTTTTTTCCGACTTTAACTGCTGACCTTGTGTCGGCAGTTCTTTATTGTGCACGGGACACAGGATACTGAGGTTCCAATCAATGGGCACGTGTTCATCTAACCAAATTGTACTAAACAGCTGGTTCATGCTTCTGACCAGCATTTGATAACCGGTCTTTAATAGCTCGGGTGGTATTCCATCGGCACCTGCTTCTTTATTGTTCTTCAGCATATTAATTACTACTTTGACCTCATCTTGGCTAGGTGGGATACACTCTATACCGTCATATCTTATTGGTTCTGGGGTATCTTCTTCACTGTCACTATTTGATACCAGAAGATTTTCAGAATGCTCCTTCCAGATCCTCAACACTCTATCTGTATCTGTCGGCAGGTTTCATCGTCATATCTACAGGAGGATGTGCCAGCACCAAAGTCTTCGGTTTAGTGTTTTACTCGTTGGTAAAAATTTCCGGACTTCATCCTGACTCCTGTACATCTCGATTTGCTCACGCTCACGTTGTTCTTCTTTTTTTCTGAAAATACGTTTCTCCTCTCTCCTTTTCTCCCGATAATTCTCCATCGCATTACGTGTTGCTACTGTCTGCAGGATTGCCCTATAAGCCGCGTTTTTCGCCTCAGTAGCATTACGACACTCCTGATCGTACCACGGGTTTCTTGATTGTGGCTTTTGTTGCAGTTAGTAGGGAGTGGGCAATTCTTTGTCACTGTGCTTTTACAAGGGGTGCTTTCGTCAAGCAGTTGGGTAAGTTGAGCGGAGTAGGCTTCTGCTATCTCTTGTGTTCCACACCGATCCACACATATGATCTTTTCATATGTGTCTTCCGTTGGGGCAAATAAGATCTATGTAGAAGAACGATTACCGGTAATCTAAATGAACAATTTTGGTATTTCTTCGTTATCTCCTGGCAGCAATTGATCATTACAAAAAGTCCGCTCCATTATTTTGAACCTCATGCTTGCATAAAAAGTTCATTATTTTTACTAATTTTCTAATATTTTACTAATGCTCTTACTAAAAATGTATCACGTTCTAAAAGTGCCCACCTGCATGTTCATATGTACCTATTGTAATAATCAGGTGTGTGCGTTTGTGCCTTAGTGCGTTCGTTAATCATTCGCATGTGTACCTCTATCATTGCTCTATTCGAACACACGAAACCAAAATTCTTAACACTTTTCACTAAAGACGACAGCAACAACAACAACTTCCGATTAGCTTAAAATTGTTATCAAATAAAGAAAATCACTCACACTCTGATATTTATACAATATCCCTAGATTTAAAATTTATTTACTTTTTTTGCAAAATAACAACAACAATGGTCAATGGTGAAAATCTGTGTGTGTGTGTTGAGGAGTGTGACCGAAGGCAGTAGCAGCAACCTTTGTGATAATCATAATCAATATCTGGTCGGTCGGCTATAAAAGCTACCGTTTATTAGGTTAACTCAGCTAGTTTGTAACGTGACGGTTTTGAACGACATTTACGACGACACATTATGGCTCGGCATATCCTAACGGGTGTGTCGTTGGCACTTTTAGTGCTTGTCAGTGCAACATTTGCCGAAGATTCATCGAATACGCTGCTGTCCGTCCAGTCAAGTCCCTTCCAAAGTGATATTGCCTACCAATTTTACGATGTTGGTTTGGAATTAAGTTATGAATTGAGAAATGTAACGGCCACAGTTGCATCGTCCCGAGGCTACGACGATGATCAGTGTACAAGAGATATTGAACGTGTCTTAACTGGCATGAAACAATACAATGAATGGGCACTTAAATGTAAGCATATTTTTCTATTCTAAATGAAAACTGGGAAAAAAGAACATTTGTGTGTGAAGAACATTAAAGAAAAATGTGAGAAAATTGTTTGGAAATTTAAAAAAAAATGTGAATTGAATTACAATGACATTGTGGATTGTGTATGTGTGGCATACATTTGTGAAAATATTCAATTTTTTTTTGAAGATTTGAAATTTGTGGCAAAAAAGATTGAAAAATATTTCAAATATAGAAATATTTTATATTTAAAGATATTGATATTCGAATAATCGATTTTATTAATTAAAATGTGTTGGACTTGAAATATGTGACAAAAAAAATAAAAATATTTAAAATATAGAAATATTATAAATATGAAGATATTGATTGGAATTTAACATATGTATATATTCAAAAATAAGAGATTTATTCCAATTATCCCAAAATATATCCGTTAAAAATTTATTTTTTTTTTAATTTTATTAAATAATTCAATGTATATTTTAAATTGTTCTATTGTAAAAAAAATTCTCTGATGTAGTTCAAAACATTTTATTAGTTTTTTGAGGATTCGAATTGTAAAAAATTACGTAGACCTTTTTGAATTACATATAGAATTTTCAAATGTATTGTTTATAATTCAAAATGTTTTATATCCTTTTTCATATGTTATTAAAAACATACCAAATGTAATTCGAAAATTCCATTTGTAATTCACAACACATAATTTACAATTCGAGAATTCCATTTGTAATTCATAACATATCAGTTGTAATTCGGGAATTTCATTTGTAGTTGGTAGAATACCTTTCGAAATTCATAGAATTCCATTTTAAATTCAAAGAATTTCATTTGATATTCATAAATTTTGATTTGAAGTACATAAAATGTAATTTGTTATTCATAACATTCAATTTTAAATTCGAAAAATATTATTGGTAACACACAAAGAATATGTATGAATTTGAAATGAATGGTTACGAATTACAACTGAAATATTATGAATTACAAGTGAAATGTTATGAATTTCAAATTTAAGTTTTTTAATTGTAAATTAATTTCTTTAAAATTCAAATGGAAATATACGAATTAGAAAAAAAATGAAAATTACAAACGAATTGTTTTAAATTACCAAATACATTTTCGAATTACAACTCCATTATAATTGCGATTCAATTTGAAATAACTTGATTGGAATAATTTCGCACTCTAATCCAATTTTATTTGCCCGCCATCAAAAATAAGGACTTTTCTTTAATCACTAAAAACCACAAAAAACAACAACGACCAAATTTTGCAAATTATTTTTCTTCTCTTTTAAATCTTCAATTACAAACCTTAACATGCATTGGTATTCATTTACCAGCCCAATGAAAATCTTGAAAATTTAAAATCGAGAATGGTAGTTGTCCTCTTAAATAAAATATATTAAAGGAGAATCACAAATACCAAATGAGAATCCAAGATATCAAATACATGCCAAAACTGCCGAATAATATGTGATATTGTTATACTGGCCCTATACTCTGATAATTTTAAAGGGAGATTTTTCTACCCAATGATAATCCAAAATATAATACTGCTGCCAATTTGGTTGTCTGTAATAACAAATGTTTGCTATTTTTTCCGATATCATAAAGGAAAAATTGTTATCGTATCCTGAATTCCATGCACTTTGGCATATTTTGGATGTTTACAAGTATAATTCCAAACTTCTCTATTCCTTTGCAATATTTATTTTCACATTAAAATGTCGATTGCTATGTATGAAGATCAGACGCCTGTATTTCGTTGTTTTAAAGAAAAATAATCCAAATATGTCTAAAACTACTCATGTCAGTCAGGTCATTCAGATACAATATAAAATTTTAACGCCTCAGGGTCTAATTTCTACAAAAACGAAAAATAAAAAAAAAAACAAATCAAAATAATCTCTTAATTGCATCATAAAAATCCCAAAAATATGTTGCGATTGAAAATCAAAAAAAAAATAACACCATATTTTTGGCAACATAAATATAATCGTTATAAAAATAAGAACTTTAAATACTAGAAGCGATAACTGTTCTATATATATATCTGATATACATATATACACATAGCTACATACATACATATATCACGTAATTGACGTATGTTCGAGTTTTTCTAGCATGCATAATTTCTTCATCACCCTTTATCGCGTAATCGCCACAACTGGAACAACCTTCCTACGTTTTTTGAAACCAATCAAAATGTTTGAAATTTTGAAAACTTTCATAAAAATATAAAAATAAAAAACAACAAATAGTTATAAAGCTAAAAAATCTAAGATTTGTGAAAATCGTTAAACTATAGCTACCGTATATTTATTTTATTGAACTTTAGAATGTTGAAATTTTGTTGTTGTTGTATTGTATTTGTATATTTGCGATAACGAAATATCTGATTCGTTTTATTGGATTTAACTGACACGGTAGCTAGCTAGAGATTGTGGAAGTAGTATCGATTAAATATTATGATTTATATAGCCTTATTATTAACAGCAAGGAATTTCCAAAAGTGAATTCGCTTAATCGAAATCGTGCAAATCTTATCAGGCAATAAAGTGTAATGTGTTTACTTTTGTACATATATGCATACATAATTTTTTAAGGTAGAAATGTTAATAAATATTTAAGGCTATTTAATTTCAAGACATACATATTTACATGTGTATTAGATGATGGCGCAGAAGTCGAATTCGTATAAAAATACCATTTTATACCGCAAAATCGATTTGTAAACTATTTTTGCAATTCATAACATTTCATTTGTAATTCGAGTATGTAATTGGTAATTCATAAAATTTCATTTGAAATTTTAAAAAAATCATTTGTAATTGGTATATAACCTCTTGAAATTTTTAGAGTTTCATTTGAAATTCAAAGAAATCCGTTTAAAATTCAAAGAATACAACTTGAAATTTATAACATATTACTTGTAATTTATAATATCTCAGTTGTAATTCGTAACAATTCATTTTAAATTCATACATATTCCTTGTGTGTTAAAATTAAATGTTATGTATTTCAAATCAAATGTTAAGAATTTCAAATGGAATTTTATGAATTTCAAATACAATCCTTTGAATTTCAAATACAATCCTTTGAATTTCAAATGGAGTTCTTTGAATTTCGAATGGTATTCTATTAATTACAAATGAAATTACAACTGATATGTATGAATTTCAAATGGAATTCTCGAATTGCAAAGTGTATGTTGTGAATTACAAATGGAATTGACGAATTACATTTGATTTGTTTTGAACAACATATGAAAAAGGTGTATGAGAATATCTTCTGATCCCTATAAATTCAACTACCTACACCGAAATTTTAAAATATCGAACGAATTTATTTTAATTTCATATGAAAAATTTAAAATTGCAAATGAAATGTGGTTGAAAATTGAGTTTTCGAATTACAACTGAAATGTTGTGAATTGCAAATAAAGTTTTCCAATCTCAAAATGAAATTCTCGAATTGCAATTGAAATGTTTTAAATAACATTTGAAAAAGGTGTAGAAGTTATTAAAACAAATTCACGCATTGCGTCCCGGACATTTTTACAATTATTACGCCTTGAGCCCTCTAGACATTCTACTAAATTGTTGTTGAGTCCTTAGACTAATTTTCTATAAATTATTAAAAAACATAGAAGAATTAAAATTCTCTAAATATTCTAATAAAAAATTATAAAAAATCTATATTCTACCACAAATATTAAATAATCCACTCCTTGAGTCATCAGAATATTTCAAAAAATTAATAAAAACTACGTCTATAGTCCCAAGAATATTCTATTTTTAACACGACATGAATACCCTGAATATTCTACTAAATAGTATTAATGAAACCCAGGAATATTCAACTAGAAAATTTTAATAAAAACCCCGCCTTAAGACTCCCGAATATTTTACTAGAAATTATTAAAAATTGCATATCCCCTAAACATTCTACTAAAAATTATTTAAAAATCCACCAATTTAGTCACCTGAATATTCCACCAATTTTTTTTTAAATCCACGCCTTGATTGTTCTGTTATCTTACGCGGATATTCTCCGCGCAGTGAAAGCACGTCTTTTTCTTTCGTTGTGCATTTCATCGATAGCCTCTGCGAACATGTAAATATTCGCTATTAGATTGCTTATCTCCAACTGAAATTGGGTCGGTGCCGAGTTTTCTATCGATTCGTCCTCCAGGGAATATGGCCCCTTTAGCCTCATCCCTTTTTATAATGCCTTTTGCTCAGAATTGAGGCCCCTTGACGCCCTATCTCCTTCTGACTCAGCATTTTTTTCCAATCCTTTTTTTATTATTTGGATTTTTCACCAAGCTGACAAAATATCCTCGATCTTTAAGGTAAATTCTTCAGCATTCACTATCCGGCACGAAGGACCAATGTTAAACGATGGATCTGTTATCTCATGTGGACTGTATACGAAAATAGTTCCCTGTTTAATTAAATAGTCTCTCCTTTGCACAAGAGACCCCCACAGCAAGACATTCACTATCTATATTATTTGAAAACCATGTTCGCTACGTGAACACTGCTGACTTTAGTCCCCTTAAGTCACCTGAATATTCCACCATCAATTATTATAAAAATCTACGCCTTGAGTACTCTGAATATTTGCTGAACATTCTATAATAAGCATTATTTAAAAATCCACAAGAAGTTGGTCTTTAAAACAACATTGATTCTGCCACTATCACATGAGCTGACCCATTGGTCCCCTATGAGGATGCCATCCGCTCTTCTATGAATTTATATCCCTATATGTTCAAAAAATTGGTCTTATTCTAGTCACACATACATATGTACATAAATCATCATCTCTAACTCTTACACATTAAAAACACACCAATTTTTTTCAATCTCTCTCTCCAACTTACAGTCCCCGACAGTTGGGGTCGTTTGCCCATGGGTCTTTTGGCTGGTCACACCATCAGTATGGGTCAATATGAAGAATGTATTGAAATTAACCGTCTATTTGCCGCCGAAGAACCACTTCGTGGTCAATACTGTTTGACCAAGGTGCCCATTAAGAATTGGTTCAAACAGATTGTACAGGATAATCCCAGGCCACGTGCCATCAGTTACAAGCAAAAGGATCCCGAAACATTTGAATTGGGTATTTGTGTGCCAGCTTCCTGTTCGCCAGCCAAATCCAATGAAATCTTGCGTCAAGTTATTAAGAAATTCTACAATCAAGATATTACCGAGACCATGGTCAGCGAGAAGTTCTGTGATATAGATGAACCAATTACATTGCGCGGTATTGATATATTTGCCATGTAAGTAGAATTGTCGGTTTTTTGTTATTACCAAAACAAAAAAGGTTTGGAAAATTAATGATTCATATTTTTTGTTGCAGTGTCTTCTTTTCTTTCATCGTTTTCTGTATGTTGGCCAGTTCTATTTATGATTATGTCAAGACCAAGAAAGGAGGTAAGAGTTCAGATATAAATTTGTTTATTTTAAAATACTAACTTGTTTTTATTTTCCCCTCGACAGAACCCAAATCTCCATTGTACCTGTCCTTCTCGGTCCTCACCAACGCCCCCAAAATCTTCACCGTTAAGAAAGTCAATAACCCCAATGTTATCCACTGCCTTAATGGCTTGCGTTGCTTCTCCATGATGTGGGTCGTTTTCGGTCATGGTTATATGACTTTCTACGATTTGCCCCATATCAATAGAAATAAATTCTACACCGTAAGTCCAAAGGAGAGAAATTTATGAGTAAACAAAATATTCTACTAAAACTATTTTCTTTACAGTGGACCCAAACCCCCTACTCTATGTTGGTACAAAACGCCACCCTTTGCGTCGATACTTTCTTCTTCATGTCCGGTTTGTTGATGTTGTGGGGTGCTTTCCGTGAAATGGAAAAGACGTAAGTAACAGACAAAATTAAATAAAAAAGACAATAAGTTGGGTCAATACGAAAACGATTTGACACCCAATGCTAGTCCATAATATCAAATTTGAGGCAATTGGGTTTGAAAATATCCAAATGTTTAATGTTCAAATTTGAGGCAATTGGGTTTGAAAATATCCAAATGTGTAATGTTCAAATTTGAGGCCATTCGATTGAAATGCTGAATATGAGATGCTATACCAAAACGTGAATCGATAAATCCCATGTTCTATACGAAACGTCCAAGGTGTAGAAACCTGCCTAAATTAACGTATTGTGAAAATCGAAATTTCTCTACAAGAGTGGATATCCTCTGAGACGACTTCTTGCTCTTCGATGAAAATACCTCTTGGATTTCTTCTAATATAATCTTTTCAACTTCTATAAAATGTATATTTGGTCTCCAAGGAAAATATATCGGACGAACATATATATGGGAGCTATATCTAAATCTGAATCGATTTCCGCTAAAACTTAGCACACCTCATTGTAGACTTAATTTAGTACGCTACACCAAATTTCGTGCAAATCGAAGGATATATGGGGACTTTGGTGCACTATTTACCTAAAATCGGACGAAAATATATATGGGAGCTATATCTAAATCTGAAAATGTAGCTAAATTATTTTTTTTTTAAATCACGCGCTCAGTCCCCTGAATATGCTACTAAAAAATATTGAAAAAATGTACGCCTTGGGTCCCCCGAATATTGTAATCAAAACTATTGAACAATCTGCACCTTAAGACCCCTGAATATGTTCCTACAATTATTGAAAAAAATGACATATTTAAACATACCTTGAGTCCCCTGAATATTCTACTAAAATTTATTAATAAAATCCTGAATACTCTAAAAAAATCGCACTGAAAATTGTACGAATTTTTCAAAATCCCACGCCTTGATTCACATAAATATTCTATCAAAAATTATTTTAAAAAATCCCACGCCTTGATTCACATAAATATTCTATAAAAAATTATTTTAAAAAATCCCACGCCTTGATTCACATAAATATTCTATCAAAAATTATTTTAAAAAATCCCACGCCTTGATTCACATAAATATTCTATCAAAAATTATTTTAAAAAATCCACGCCTTAAGTCACCTGAATATTCCACTAAAAATTATCGCTTTCACTTACCTAAATATTCTAATAAAAATTATTCAAAAAATCCGCGAGAAGTTCTACTCTGAGAACACTTTTTCTACTCTCCCATATTTTGAATTGCTGTAACTAACTGAGCCCCATCTTTTTCTAATTCTTACAGCAAGGGTAAATTGGACATTAAGATGATGTACTTCCATCGTTACATTCGTTTGACCCCCGTCGTCGCTGTTGTTGTCTTGTACATTATGTCCTTGTACAAATACTCTGGTGCTGGTCCCATGTGGATGAAACTCGGCACTCAAGACAAACGTTGTGAAGAATCGTGGTGGGCTACTTTATTGTATGTCCAAAACTACGCTTTCCCCTACAGCATTGTAAGTATTTTTGCAAATCAAACTACGAGCTTTGGAGACCTATAATTATACATAATTTTCTTTTTTATAGTGCATCAGTCAGTCTTGGTATTTGGCTGTCGATACCCAGCTGTATGTTTTGTCACCACTCTTCCTTATTCCCCTGTGGAAATGGGGTAAGAAAGCTGTTGCTCCCATTGCCGTATTCGGTGTCCTCTGTATGGGCTGCACCTTTGCCACATTCATGCACAACAACTTCACTCTCTTCCGTGTCGATGATGATCAAGTCGATTTGCGTCAACGTCTTACCTATTATCCAACCCACACACGTATTCCAACATGGTTGATGGGTGTCATCTTCGGTTACTTCTTGTTCACCAAGAATCGCGGCCGTCAAATACCAATGAAGAAGACCTATGTTATCATTGGCTGGGTTTTGGCGTTGGGTGTTATGCTTACCGATTTGTGGGGTCCATACTGGCGTATTTTGCCCGAAAACCCTGATGCTCCCATCATTGAAGGTGCCTTCTACGAACCATTGTCTCGTGCCTCATGGGCTTGCGCCATTGGCTGGATTGTCTGGGCCTGTTATAACGGTCATGGTGGCCTTATCAATGACTTCTTGTCCTGGGGATTCTTTACCGGTTTGAGTCGCTTGAGCTACTGTATGTATGTCATTCACAGAATTGTCCAATGGGTTACAGCTGGTCGTCTCCAGACCGATACTCACTTCTCCGATTACGATATGGTAAGTGTTGGAAACTATATAAAATTGTAACTACCAGACAGCCAAGCTAATGTATGGCAATTTACTCACTTTTAGGTTCTCCGTTGGTGGCACGATTTCGGTATCACCTTGGTTGCTTCCGTCTTTGCCACTTTGGCCTTTGAATCGCCTATTTTGGGTATTGAAAAGGCCATCTTCCGTCGTGGTGATGCCAAGCCCGCCCCCAAGAAAATCGAACCCACAACCACAGTTGCTCCTGAACCAGCTACTGCTGAAACCACACCTGCCGAAACTGTTGCCAAGGCTTAAGTTTAATCTATAGTCCTTCATCTAGTCTCTATCTAAACTCATCAACTTGCAAAATTGGCAAAAACAACAACAAAACAAATACATCAAATAACGTCCAAAAAATAGTTGAAAACATAACAAAACAAAAAACAAAACATGTTAATTTATTTTAAAGAAACAAAGATTTACATTGTTGATATTGTTATCGTATTGATTACGAGCTTATCAAATACTAGGCAATAATCTAAATATATGAATATTTATTAACCACAAATATAAATACATACTTTTCATTGAATTGGTGGATTTTCAAAATCTAATAAAAATATGATACCCTTTATATATATATATAAGGTATATTGACATGAAATTGAACAAAATCAAAAATGTGTTCTTTATTTATATGTAAACCGACTAACATCAATCCCAACACATGCCATTCTGCAACCTATGCTAAATTTTGTTAAGATGAATAGGTCGAAATTATATATGGAAGCTATGCTATATCTAAATCTGTACCGATTTCATGAAAACTTGCCCCAGATTAATTTATATTAACTTCAGTACGTTGTGTCAATCGGCCAATCTATGGGTATTTAGTGCACCATTTACATAAAATCGGACGAAAATATATAGGAGCTATATGTAATCTGAATCGATTTCAAAACTTGACACACCTAACGATATACTAACTTAATATGGGAGCTATATCTAAATCTGATTTTTACGAAACTTTACACACACCACTCTAGACTTCATTCAGTACGCTATGCTAAATTTCGTGCATACCGAAAGATATTTAGAAACTGTGGCGCACCATTTCCCTTAAATCGGACGAAAATATATATGGGAGCTATATCGAAATCTGAACCGATTTTCAGGAAACTTAACACACATCATTCTAGACTGAATTCAGTACGCTATGCCAAATTTCGTGCAAATCAAAAGATATATGGGTACTTTGGTACACCATTTACATTAAATTGGACGAACTATATTTAAATCTGGGAACTATATTTAAATCTGAACCGATTTTTCGCAATTTCAATAGGGTATGCCCTTGGGCCAAATAAATGTGCTGTACCAAATTTCATCCAAATCCAATGACAAATGCGACCTGTACTTTGTTTACAATTTAACATCAACAGACGGACGTACGTACGGACTTGCATAAATCGTCTCAAAAAGTGATTCTATGCATATTCTCAAAAGGAACCATGGGTCTGTCTCGTTTCCTTTTGCCTGTTACAAGCATATGCACAAAGACATAATACCCTGTACCACAGTGTGGTGAAGGATATAAAACCGCGTCTTATTTTTGAATGAATAAATTACCCTTTTTATTTCGGAAAGAAACTTTTACTATATTTTTATTTTCAATAAAGTTACAGGTCATTTATTCAGTTTGAAATTTCAGTTGCTATAGTTTGGCCACCAGTGTATATTTGAGAATTCCACATACGGAAATCGTTCCGTTGATTATCCAAGGTTTCAAACGTGGCCGAAGGTTTACCTTCTGTGTGATCTCAAACAGCTTGGCGGAGGCTTTCGATATGTCAAGGTTCACCAATATGTTTTATTGCACGGCCTGTTCTGGGGTTAAGTCATCTACTTATATGTTTGCATGACATTGAATGCTGTGCATTTCCTTCCTCCTGTAGAGATGAAGATGAAAACCAGGTGACAGATACAAATAGCGTGCTGAGGATCTGAAAGGAACATTTCGAAAAGCTTCTGGTATCATAAAGTGGCGGTGAAGAAGATACGCCAGAAATAATAAGAAATGCCGGTATAGAGTATATACCACCTAGCCAAGATGAGGTCAGAGTAGCAATTAATCGGCTGAAGAACAATAAAGCAGCCGAGGTATTCAAGACCGGTGGTCAGATGCTGGTCAGGAGCATGCATTAGCTCATTTGTACTATTTGGCTAGAGGAATAAATGCCCAATGATGGAACCTTAGCATCATGTGTCCCATGCACAAAAAAGGAAACAAGACGATATGTGCTAACTATCAAGGAATAAGTCTCCTTCCCATCGCATATAAAGTGCTATCCAGCGTGCTGTGTAAACGACTGAAGCCAATGGTCAATGACATTATTGGACCATACCAATGCGGCTTCAGGCCTGGCAAATCCACCATTGACCGGATTTCCACTCTGCGCCAAATCTTGGAAAAAACCCAAGAAAAAACAAATCGACACATTCCACCCATTTGTCGACTATAAAGCTGCATTCCACAGCCCTATCCGTTCAGAGGCGTTTAAAGCCATGTCTGCGTTTGACATTCCTGCAAAATTGATACGGCTATGCAGGATAGCTTTAACTGGTACAATGGCAGCAGTTAAAGTAGGAAAGGACCTCTCGGAGCCCTTCTAAACCGAATGAGGATTCAGACAAAGTGACAGTTTGTCGTGTGACCTATTCAACATCCTGCTTGAGAAGGTCATAGGAAATGCAAATGTGAACAGAAATGACACTCTGTATACCAAACAGCATATGCTACTCGCCTACGCCGACGACATCGACATAATGGGTCGAACATTGCGAGCGGTGACTGCCACCTTTGAACGAATTGAGAAGAAGTCTGTCAAACCAAAGCAAACTGATGGTATCAACGCGCAAGACGTCCAGTAGACTCGGACCAGCTGTGGAACTTGAAAACTACAGCTTCGAAGTAGTGAACTATTTTATATACCTCAGTACCGCCATAAAGAAAACTAATAACATCGTCTTTGGAATCAAGAGAAGAATAGTGTTGGCCAACAGATACTACTATGGCCCGACCAAAGACGCTGATATTACCCGTGCTATTGTATGAATCTGAAGCATGGGTACTTGCGCAAGTAGATGAGGTAGCTCATTGGGTGTTTGATAGAAAAATTATATGGAAGATCTATGGACCGATCTGCGTCGATGGTGAATATCGCCGTCGAATGAATAGTCAGACGGATCGAGCTGCAGAGCTACGTTAACTAGGTCATCTTGTGAGAATGGATGAAGATGCCCCAGCTCAAAAGGCATATAAAATCGAGCCAAGTGATGGTTCACGCAGAAGGAGAAGGCCACGAATCCGATGGAAAGACCAAGTAGAAGACAGCATCTCGGAAAATGGTCTTTCAAATTGGATGAGATGAGCATAAGCCGGCGCGTCTGAAAAATTTTCTAAGCTCGGCTTATGGAAGAACCGTTCTGTCATAAGTCAGCTAAGTAAGTACATAATTTCCATTTGAGCTTTATTAAGTATTCATTTTAGAGAACTTCGTTGTAAAGGTACACAAGCAGTACACCAAATGTAAGAAAAAATGTATGTTAAAACTTTTTTATTTCACTTTTAAATATAACCGCCATACAGCCATAATACAATAATCAAGCTAATTAAAAATGTATACAATTATAGACTTATAAATATTTGGATAAAGTATTCAATATATATATATATATATTTACATGCCCTGACCAATGTTTCAATCACAATTCATACACTAACATACTCTAGGTAAAATTAAATTCCAAAAAAAAAAAAAAAAAAAAAAAACAAAATATTATCTATACTGTTGATTACTATTATATATAGGACTACAATTTGGACAAATACTTTTGTAGAAACCAACCGTTCCACACTGATGACATTTCGGTGATGGTCCATTATTACTACTACGAAGTTTGGCAGCTAAGAGTTTACTTGGGCAAGGACCATTTTTCGGCGCTATCAGTTTGGTGGTTAATGACGCAGTTGGAGTCGGCGGGTTTGGTGTCATTGTAGTGATGTGTGGTGAATATGTTGATATATGTTGTGACAATGATATGTTGTTATTGTTGTTGTGTGTGACAGTGGTGGGATTTGTGCTCGTACAGCTTGTACTAATGGTGGGTGATGCTATCGAGTTGGATGTGCTGCTATTAATCGCTGAGGGCGATGATGATGACGATGATGAGTTGGCTGCTGTTGACAATTGGCTAAATATCGCTGCTGTAGAAAGTGGTATAGATGTTGTTGTAGTTTGCGTACTAATCGCTATGTTAGATGATAATGAGCCACTGGCGGGTACATGACTAAATGAAGTTGATGATGGGGAATATGGTGCAGATGCCATTACAATGTCGTTAGATAACGAAATGTCATCATCATGATTTTTATTAATATTAATATTGTTGTTGTTGCAGTTGTTGGACTTATCCTCCTTATTGGCTTTCGATATATCACTAGATGTTGGTAGAAACTTTCCTGGAAATAATTGCATATGTCGTGCCCGTTTTAAGCAATCCTGAGCTATGTGATTAAATTTACGACAATAGCTACAACGTAATTTCATTTTACGTATAGTTGGACCACTTGCTGCGGATACCGCGGGATGAGATTTCTTCGAAACTTCGGCATGTATAGTGGTTTCACCGTTGATGACTAAGAAACCAACAGTGGCATTTGAATGTTCTTGTATAGGCACAATTGGAGAATGCTGACCACCACTTTGATCACCACTATCACAGTTCATTTCGGATTCATCGATAATTGTATTGATTTGATCCATGATATCGACGTCTATTTGAAAATTCATATTTTCTGTTATTGTGGTTGCTGTTGTTTGAGCTGCGGCGGGCTGTTGAATTATGGCAATAAATTCCTCCTGTTGGCCGGCCATGGTTGTTCCATTCCCCTCCTCCTCCTCCGTATTTTCATTTTTAATGACCGGTGGCATAAGATCTTCGGTACGTCTGACCTTAATTATGGGATCCTTATCGTTAATTAAGCATGTTGTAGCTGCTGCTGCTGGTTCGGAACCTACATCACTATTTTCGTTTACATTAATTTTATTAGGTGTTGTGGTTTGGTTTTGTTCTTCATTACTTGAATTTTCTTCTTTGGGTTCAACACTATCCACCATACCATTGACATTATTGCAATTTGCATTGATGTGGCTGCTTGATGATGCCTCTACAGTATTGCTGGTGGTTTCATTATTTTCTTTCGATTTCAATTGAACAATTTGTTGTCTTAATTCTGCCACACTTGAGATACAACCATATTCCAATTTCTTTTGAA